CAAAAGACCTGAATTCTAGAGGTGAGGTGAGAGTGACAGCCTTTGACATCAAGGCTGCTTTCAACCGAGTGTGGCATCAAGGAGCCCTAGTGAAATTGGAATCAATGGGTATCAGGGGAAAACTCTCCGTGGTTGGAATCATACCTGACACATTGGAAGATGTTTGTGGTTGTTGGAGGTTAGCCATTTCACCTCTAGGACATCTCTGCAGAAGTTCCTCAGGGTAGTGTTCCAGGCCCATCCATCTTCAGCTGCTTCATCAATGACCTTCCCTCCATCATAAGGTCAGAAGTGGGAATGTTCACCAATGATTACACAATATTCCACACCATTCCCAACTCCTCAGACACTGAAGCAGCCCATGTCCAAATGCAACAAGATCTGGACACTACCCAGGCTTGGGCTGACAAGTAGCAAGTAACATTCGTGCCGCACAAATGCCAAGCTATGGCCATCACCAATAAGAAACAATCTAACTACTAACCCTTGACTTTCAATGGTGTTACCAGCACTGAATACCCCACTATCAACATCCTGGAAAACATAATTGATCAGAAACTCAGCTGGACTCACTACACGTATGTAGTGGCTACAAGAGTAGATCAGAGACTAGGAATAGAGTCATCGAGAGTAACTCAACTCCTGACACCCCAAAGCCTGTCCAAGATCTACAAGGCACAAGTCAGGAGTGTGATGGAATATTCCCCACTTGCCTGGATAAGTGCAGCCCCAAACACACTGAAGAAACTTGACACCATCCAGGACAAAGCAGCCCACTTAATTTGCACTGTATCCACAAGCATCCATTCCCTCCACCACTGATGCTCATTAGCAACAGAAATTCACCAAAGATCCTCAGACAGCACCTTCCATATGTATGACCACTTCCATCTAGAAGGACAAGGGTAGCAGATATATGGGAACATCACCACCTCCAAGTTCCCCTCCAAGCCATTCACCATCCTGACTGAGAAATATACCGCTGTTCCTTCACTGTTGCTGGATCAAAATCTTGGAATTCCTTCCCTAATGACATTGTGCGTCAACCCAAAGCAGGTGGATTGCAGCAGTTCAAGAAGGCAGCTCACCACCACCTTCTCAAGGGCAACTGGGGACAAACAATAAATGCTGGCCAACCAGCAACGCCCACATCCTATAAAAATGAAGAAATAAAAAATGTATTTATTCCTTTACTTTTCTATTTTCTTTGTTTCATAAGAATTTCATCTTAAGTATCTTTGTACCTAAGATGGAACTGTAATGCAGCAACTGTAAACCTTTCATTGTACTCATTTGAGTACATGTGACAATAAAGCTAATTCAATTCAATTTAATCATCCAGTTTTACACATCCTACCCATTTACTTTCCTATCTCATTCACAAGCCATAGACAAACATTGCAGTCCAATAGATTATTAATAATACCTTTAAAAACAAAAGACAAATGTTGCTTTTGTGTTCTTTATCTTATATGATATCTTCTTTCTCCTCAACAATAACCTTTTATATTATGCTACATCTTTTCATTCTCAAAATCATCCTAAATTTAAATGGTGGACTTACTGGACTGACAGGTTCTCTCCAAGATTTTTATTGATTTCTGCCCAAAAGAAATCTTTTCTCATTATCACTGGAGCCATCAAAGCTGAGTATAGATATTTTATTGTTTTCAGAACATTTCATTGATCCAAAATGAACCTAATTTATTTCATAGATTCTAATTCTTTATAAATGCCTGATCGAATTCTTACAGTTACCAAGAATTTTGTAACACTGGTCAACACAAGGTGTAAAAATTCCATTCCAGTTGAGGCAGAATGCACTAATCAAGTGACATTAAATTTTGACTTGCTATTGAAGAAAAGTTAATTTCTCTTTGTTTTTTCAAGGGGGTAGAGCAAAACTATTTCCAATTCACTCACTTGTGCCATTCTATATATTTTTTAAAAATGCTGTTTTGAATAATGCACAGCAAGACTTTGTTCCAAACACTGCATTTTTCTTCCAGCTCAGTTGTCTGAAGCATGTTGGATTAATGTCATATTTTTCCAAAATTTTTTTTAAGTTCTTTCTCAACCTAAACTTTGTCACATTTTCTTCATTTTAACACTTTGAGTCAACTATACTAAACTCAGACCATTTGTTTCAAAGTAGCAGTATCCAAATTTGAAATTCCAAATTTTCCCTTTTGAGAATTGTATCAGGAATATGATCCTCAAATCTTTAAACTTTGCAAGGTTTCGAGCCCAAAATCATTTGGATTATTCCAACTCCAGAATAATCATCATCACTATCAAACATTAAAGAAAAATCATTAGAAACATGGAAACTTTTGATCTGGACTAAAAATCCCCACATTTATCACAGTATCCCAGAATCATATTTCTGGCAAGTAGCCATGATTCTATCACTTATTCCTTGAACAATTTATATTATTTATAACCTTTCCCATAAGTTACATTGTCCTCTTGTCTTCCAAGTTCTGAAATACAGTAAGGTTAATTCCCAAAAACCTTTTCAATCTAATTAGCCCAAACAAAAGGAACTGTGTAAGCTTCCACACAAAGTGCAACAGATCTACAACTGTCCTTGGCATTAAAATGAGACAGACAAACTCAGTCACTGGCATATGTCAATAATGGAAGCTTCCTCACAGTTACACCTGATTTTTTAAAAATTCATTCATGGGATGAGGGCATCACTAGCTAGGCAGCATTTCAGCATTTATTGCCCATCTGTAATTGCCCAGAGGGCAGTTAAGAGTCAACCACATTGCTGTGGGTCTGGAGTCACATGTAGGCTAGACCAGGTAAGGATGGCAGGTTCCTTCCCTAAAGGATATTAGTGAACCAGATGGTTTTTCCCAACAATTGACCATGGATTCACAGTCACCATTAGATTCTTAATTCCAGATATTTATTGAATTCAGATTCCACCATCTGCCATGGCAGGATTCAGACCCAGGTCCCCAGAACATTATGTGGGTCTCTGGATTAACAGTCCAGTGATAATCCCACTAGGCCATCGCCTCCCCCCATTATCTCCATAACAGTAATTCAATTCAATAACATTTTTCGTTCAAAGAAAAGTTTTTCAATCTGCTAACACTTACATCCACAAGGGGGAAGAAAACCAGCTTGTCAAATTTTCACTGACAGACCTCATATTTTTTCTGCTTGGTGAGTGTCAGACCTTATTACATCCCCGTCCCAGAGTGATCCTCTGAGAGGTTTCAGTCATGTCAGATGAAACAATTGCTTTTGAACATACATTGTATAATGAATTATTCTTAGACCAATTTTACTACAATATTGTTCTGAGATGTTTCACATACAATAAACACCAACAGCTTTAAAATATACAAGATCGGATCAGAGAGGGTTAATGAAATTGCCTGGTGGACAAGCAGGCAGACAGACAGAAAGAAGTGCGACTGGGTCCTCAGCTTTTTAAAATATCTATAAAAGGACTTTGATGAAACAACTAAAGGTATGGGTTGCTGACTATGCTATGACACAAAGATAGAAGAGGTGCTAAGGGATACAGAGAGGTTAAGAAAATGGGCAAATATCTAAAAAGCAGAATATAATGTTGGAAAATGTAAAATTGTCTATTTTGACAGGAAGAATTATAAAGCATATTAAGTAACTGATGAAAGATTGCAGGGCTCTGAGATGCACATGGATGTGGGTGTCCTTGTGCATGAATGACAAGAAGCTAGTATATTACAACTGGTAGTTAGTAAAGCTAATGGAATGTTATCACTTATTACGAGGGAAATTGAATCGTAGAGAGGTTATGCTTTAGGTGTCACTCATTTAAGACTGAGATGAAACAAATTCACTTCCCACAGAGGGTTGAATTTCCTCTACATTTTTTTTCTTTTGTACAGTCCTCCGAGTTCCATGCACATCAGCGACTTCCGTGATTGGAAGTCAATGCATCGGCACATCGTTCAGCATGTACAGAACCTCGGAGCGGCTAAGTAGCTGTGCAGTTTAGAATGAACATTGGTCGAGTGTTTTCGGAACTCTGTTCCTCAAAAGGTGGTGGAAACAGGGTCTTTCAGTACTTTTTTAGAGGCAGAGATAAGTAGATCCTTGACAATCAAGGGGTGAAAGATTATTGGGGAAAGGCTGGAATGTGGAGTAATCAGATCAGCCACGATCTTAATGAATGGTGGAGCAGGTTTGAGAGATAAGTGGCTTGTTTCTGCTTCTTATTTGTAAGTTCATATGTTGTATACCTTCTGCTATACTTAGAAATTTAATGTTCAATCATTGGTTGGAGTCATGAACAGAGGAACTGAAGTGTGTTACTTAACACTGTCATTGTTAAATACAATGGGGTGGCATGGTGGCTCAATGGTTAGCACTGCTGCCTCACAGCAGCAGGGACCTCGGTTCAATTCCAGCCTTGGGCAACTGTCTGTGTGGAGTTTGCACATTCTCCCCATGTCTGTGTGGGTTTCCTCCAGGTGCTCCAGTTTCCCACAGTCCAAAGATGTGCAGGGTAGGTGGATTGGCCTTGCTAGATTGCCCATAGTGTCCAGAGATGCTTCAGTTAGGTGGATTAGACATGGGGAAATTAGGGGTAGGGGTAGGGGAATGGGTCTGGATGGGTCTTCAGAGGGGCAGTGTGGACTTGTTGGGCCAAATGGCCTGTTTCCACACTGTAGGGATTCCATGATTCTATTCTAAGCCTCCAAAGCACATTTATTTTCTTGGTATTGGGAGCCATGATTTTAAGTTGAGAAGCATTGGTTACACACTTATACAATGTAGCTGTATTTAGTAGACATTATCTGCAATGCAATGTTCCACCCTCAAGGGTGTTTTCCCCACATGGACACAGTTGGTGATTATTGTTGGTGGAGATCGTGCAATTTGTCCATCCTCATACTTTTTCGATAGAGCCAACCTTTAATCTTCAGACATGCATTGTTAGGAATGTTTTTTTTCGCATATCACTGAACATGTTTTCCTTTGGTGTATTCCAGCTGTTATAGCTCTCTTCTGCAGACAGTACGACATCATTAAAGACAACGACTCAAATAATAACAAGGAGAAGGCCAAGCCCTCATCAGAACACAGCACGCCAGAGCATCCGACTGGTGGATTAATGCGTAGTAAGGTAAGTAATGCAAACAGGCAGTGAGATTATGTTCCAAGGGATACCATCTATTTTCACTGATATATTTGATTCCATTTTAAAAAGCACATATGGAACACACAAGTAATTATCTTTTAAAATCCAGCGAAGCAAATTAAAATCATTAAAGGATTCAAATTTAAATTTGAAGTGTGAATAATATCATAAGGACTATGTATGCTGCTACCACAACTGCAGGGCATACACTCACCACCCATACAGTTGCACTGCCAATGATGCCATTGCCAAGGATGCCACAGTGAGGTGCCTACATCAAAGAATATGAGCAACAAAATTAGTGTTTTCAAATGTTTGAAACAAATTCAAATCCTGGGTTCATGATTTGCTCACTACTCTCAATAATTATCTGTCCCCTTATTGACCCTGTCCCAATCATTGCTGTGATGCCATGCTGTGTTGACAGTCTCCAGGAGCAAGTAAGTAAGTGGGAAGAAGGCTGTGAGGAGGTGGGAAAGGGGCAAGCAGGGAGTTAGCAAGCAAGGTCACGGGTGAGGCAGAGAATGTCGGGGTGTTGTGAGAGTCATGTGCAAACCAAAGTGGTTATTGGGAAAGCAGAGGTGGGAGCAAGGGGCTGGGGAAGTGGTCGAATAGAGGGGGAATGGGAAAGCAGGGCATTGAGGATGGCAAGTGAAGTGGGAAAGCAGAATGGTGAGTGGATGAGCAAGGTTTTGCAGATGCCAAATAAAGGAGAAGAGTCAATCGATGAGTGAGTAAACAGAATACCGAGGACACAGCATCAAGAGGGAGAATAGAGTGGCAAGCTGAACTGCAAGTGCAGTGAAATTAGTAGAGTGTTCCCTGGGCATCAGTGGCACTGTACATGTGCACATAGGTGTAATTTTTTGTTAAGCTAATTGATGTGATGTGGGTGTTTGTTGATTGGGCCAGCATTTATTGCTTATCCCTTGTTACCCTTGAGATGATGAGCTACTTCTTCAACTGTTGTGATGTATCTAGACCAAGGATGCTGTTAGGGGTGGAGTTCCTAGAATCTGATGCAGTAACACAAATCAGCAACAACTTCCAATTCACATGTTGATGCCATCAGCAGTGCCAACTTCCTCTGCTGGTGTAGGACTAGAAGATCCACCATATCATCAAAGGAGCTGTGTACAATATCAGGTAGTCCAGTCTCTTGATTTGACTTTCCAGGAAATATCAAAATCATGGTGATAATCAAATTAGAATGCAGTACAATGACAGTTCTGATTTTCAGCTCCATTTCCAGATGTACGATTGGCCTTATTGATCAGACATCTCTCAGAAATTGTTAGGTTTTTCTTTTCCATAGAAATAGAGATTGAGCATAAAAATAACCAAATAAAGGACACCCCACATATGTTTTTAAGTTACAATACAGGAATAGACCACAAGACTTGCTACCGTGATTTATACAAGATTCCACCCAATCTTCTTACCATTCCCTCTAACTGAATTTTATGCTCTAATCCTTTCTTCCACTGACACATTTAGTTTTCCCTCCATGTGGTTGTTCGTTCTACGCTGAATAAAGACACCTGTCCTGAATTTGTTATTGAATTTATTAGTGACTATTTTGACTTCAACTTTGTTGGTTTTCAGGCCTCTCCAACATTTAGAAACACTAATTACAAATTTGGAAAAGGCCTAGAAACAGGCACAGGGATCACAGTACATGATTGACCTGTGCTTGCTGTTTCTGATGAAGACGGCATAAAATTTTCATGCTGCATTTGAAGCCAGCACTAATCATGCTGAGTGGTTTGCACTACTGAGCATGGACATAAAACCCAGAGATGTTAACACAAGTTCATGGACCACTCAAAAACAACGTATTAAATGGGAGGGGCATTTTGGCTAGGTATTGGTAGTTATGCCAATAGTGACCTTAAATTGGAAAAGTAATAAGAAGTCACAATGTAACAGATGTGCACTCCAAGGTCCTCTGATACATCAGAGGAGGTCTTGCTGAAGGAAGTAGAGAGGGTAAGAAGAGCAGTCCTTGAGCTTCAAGTGACTAGGAAACTCCACAGCCAAACACTGAGAAGCAATGGGAGACAACAGCTGGCATGTTCAAATACAGCACCACACTTATGAGAGAGTGGACATAGGGCTGCAAGATAATCAGTGATGCCACACAACTGGTTAAGGCTAATGAATATATGTTCAAATGCTATGTCCTCATCCTCCTCCTCCTTTTCCTCCTAAGTTGATCCTGGCATCAAGGGCTGTGCTTTCATAATGGCAAGGTTGTGCATCAGATCATGATCACACACACTCTGGCAAGTACAGCAGGCACCTCAAGAGTGAAATAGGCTCCGAAAGCATTGCCGAAGCACTCAGCACAGTGTACTAAGTCTCATTTTATGTAGAAATTTGGCTCCCATTGTATGAATGGAGTCATGAGCCAGGTAGTCAGCTGATAGGCCTTGACTCAACTATTAATTACACGGTGGACTGATATATATCATAGATGTCAACAACAGCTGCCAGGATAATTGACAAACACTATGTGCAGCCAACTGGACATTGAAGAAGTAGAAGACATTCCAGTTGTTTTAATCTCTGAATTTGAATGCAGTGCCATTAAGTAACACATGTGCAGACAGTGGCACTGCAGCATAGGAAGCCTGCTATCCTGGCAAAGCTGTATACTGGCTGCACGCACTTACACCACAGTGGATGACAGACTGCAACCTGTTGGAGCTGTTACCTGCACCAATCTGAAAGAAGCCAGACCCACAGGAGTTCATGGGCATGTTCAATCACAGACAATGCCATCTTTAACCTCTTCTGACATGCAGCTCCAAAAGGCAACAATTTCACTTAACACATCTTTATTAAAATGTTCAATGCTGAGTTTGAAATGGAATAATGATCCATGAAGAAAATGAAGGGAGTGGCCTCCAGCTAAGAGTTCTTTGTCCTGTCAGGCTTCAGGTCAAGGGGAATAGTATACCTTGATTTCTGAAAATCTGCAATAAAACACCACACAGGAGACTGCTTTACAAAATAACATTAGCAGGTATCAACCTGACAACCTAAGGGGAAGAAGCATGGGATATTAGGAGAACTAAATTATAAAGAATAGAGGTAAGGAGAGGTTTTCTGTAGGAACTATAACTGGGACCTTTTTGTGTTGATGGAATGCTTAAGCAAACTGGAAATGAAATCTCAATTCTGAACTTTTAACTGAAACCATAGGCTTGATTTTTCAACCTCAAATTGGACTGGTCAACTTCTATCATGTATAAGATACTACATATTGACTCAAACTGGGTTATCATGCCAATCACTGAAATTATAGACAGTGAGCAGGTGCAGAAATTGACAATCGGGAAACCATTTTGAAATGATTAATTAATAAGCTACTGAGTTTGTGAAAGATCCAAGTACGTGCTTTTTTTATTGCTCTGTCCATTTCTCCATCATTGGATTGGAAAATGTTTGGGAGTACTTTATGTTAGGGATGAGGAGGTGGTACAATAGTAGGAAGAAAAGGCCACGATTGTGTGGAGTGTACAGTCTGCTGGTGAAGGTGTCATTGCTCCTTTTCTGTCTTCATTTATTCATTGTTTTGAACTTGCCAAAACAAATAGAGAGAGATTGACAGGGCCAGAGACTTAATTTGTTGGCTGTTCACACAACGCCTTTTTTGTGTGCCCTCCCAGCTCAGTGCCAGATTGGGCATGGCTTTTTATGCTCAGTTCGAGCAGAATGCCAGTGGCACAGGGTCACCTATCCCGACAGCCCCGGGTGCATCTGTTTCCTCAGTCACCACCACAGACGTCAGATCGGCCTTCTTGAGAGGAAACCCAATGAAAGCAATTGGTCCTGACAGAGTCCCCAGCCATAGACTCAGATCCTGTGTGGACCAACTGGTGGAAGTATTCTCTGACATTTTTAACCTCTCCTTGCTACAATCTGAAGTCCCCATCTGCTTCAAGAAGACCACCATCATCCCAGTATCAAAGGAAACACATGCAATGTGCCTCAACAAGTATCGCCCAGTTGCTCTGACCTCCATAATTATAAGGTGCTTCAAGAGGTTAGTCATGGCATACTTCAACTCTAGCCTCCCAGCCTGCCTCGATTCCTTGCAAGTTGCCTACGGTGAACCAGGCCCACAGCAGATGCCATTTCCCTAGCCCTACGCTCACCTCTGGAACATCTGGACACCAAGAATATCCACGTCAGGCTTCTACTTTGGGGCGGCATGGTGGCTCAGTGGTTAGCACTACTGCCTCACAGTGCCAGGGACCCGGGTTCAATTCCACCCTCGGGCGAACGTCTGTGTGGAGTTTGCACATTATCCCCGTGTCTGCGTGGTTTTTCCTCCGGGTACTCTGGTTTCCTCCCACAGTCCAAAGATGTGCAGGTTAGGTGGATTGGCCTTGCTAAATTGCCCATAGTGTTCAGGGATGTGTAGCTTAGGTGGGTTATAGGGGGATGGGCCTGATTGGGATGCTCCAAGGGTCGGTATGGACTTGTTGGGCTGAAGGGCCTGTTTCCATACTGTAGGGATTCTATGATTCTACTTATCGACTACAGCTCCACCTTCAACACTATAATCCCAACCAAACTAACTCAAAATTCCAAGACCTAGGTCTCGGCTCCGCCCTCTGCCTTCCTGACTCACAGACCGCGAATCAATGAAGATAGACAACAGCACCTTCTCCATGATAATGCTCAACACCGACGCCCTACAAGGATGTGTACTCAGCCCCCTACTGTACTCCCTGTACACTCACAACTGTGTGGCCAAATTTTGTAAGAACGCCATCGACAAGTTCGCTGATGACACCGCCATCATAGGCTGAATATCAAACAATGATAAGTAAGAATATGGGAAGGAGATAAAGTGTTTGGTGTCATGGTGCAATGATAACAATCTCTCTCTCAATGTCAGCAAAACAAGAGAACTGATCATTGACTTCAGGAAGAAAGGAGGATATGCCCCTATCTACATGAATGGAGCTGAAGTGAAGAAGGGTGACAGCATCAAGTTCCTAGCAGTGACAATAACAAACAATCTGTCCTGGACCTCCCATGTAGATGCAATGGTCAAAAAGGCACAACAATGCCTACTCTTTCCCAGCAAGCTTAGGAAATTTGGCATGCCCATAAGGACCCTCACCAACCTTTACGGAGGCACCGTAGAAAGCATTCTGTCTGGGTGCATAATGGCTTGATATGGCAACTGCTCTGCCCAGGACTGTAATAAACTACAGAAAGTTGTGTCCACAGCCCAGACCATCATGAAGGCCAACCTCCCATCAGTGGACTCCATCGACACCACCCGTTGCTGCGGAAAAACTACCAACACAATCAAAGACCCCTCCCATCCCAGTACCACTCTCTTCCAAACTCTTCCATCAGGCAGAAGATACAGAAGCTTAAACACGTGTACCAACAGTTTCAAGAACAGCTTCTTCCCTGCTGTAATTAGACTGCTGAATGGACCTTTCTAACTTCAAATCTAATGTTGATATTGCTTTTGTGTATCACCTGTGTGGACGTAACCATGTCTGCCTCACTTTGTCTAAACGACCTATGATCTGTATGTTCTTGTATGTTATGATCAGCCTGTACTGCTCGCAAAACAAAATTTTTCATTTAAAGTTTCTGAGAAGATTTGTAGCTCGGGTTGTGGATGAGGTTGTAGACTTGCTTGCCGAGCCAGTGGGTTTGGTTGCAGACGTTTTGTCACTCTACTAGATAGCATCGTCACTGCGCCTCCGGTGAAGCACTGGTGTTCTGTCCCGTTTGTTATTTATACGCCTCGGTTTGCTGGGGTGGTTGGCATCACTTCGGGTTCTGTTTTTCAGTGGTCTGTGTATCGGGTTCAGTTCGATATGTGTTTTGATAGAATTCCAGTTGGAATGCCAGGCCTCCAGGAATTCCCTGGCATGTCTCTGTTTGGCTTGTGCTTTTATGGATGTGTTCGCCCAATCGAATTTGTGTCCTTCGTTGTCCGTGTGTGTTGAGACCAGTGAGAATCGGTCGAGTCCGCTAAGAGACTAGCCACCAAGAGACACGACCAATTCTCACTGATCCCAATACACATGGACAAAGAAGGACACAAATTCGACAGGGACAATGCATCGATAATAGCACGAGCCAAACAGCGACATGCCAGGGAATTCGTGGTGGCCTGGCATTCCAACTGGAACTCCATCAACAAACACCTTGAACTGGACCCAATATACAAACTACTGAAAAACAGAACTGGAAGTAATGCCAACCACCCCAGCAAACTGAGGCATATAAATAACAAACGGGACAGAACAGCAACACTTCACTGGAAGGACACTGATGACGTTATCTAGCAGGGTGACGAAATGTCTGGAACTAATCACATCGGCTCCACGAGCAAGTCTATAACCTCAAAAGTTTTCATTGTCCTCAGGTACATGTGACAACAATCAATCAAATCAAATCAAAGACACTGCTTCTGAAGAAGGGTCCAGACCTGAAACGTCAGCTTTCCTGCTCCTCTGATGCTGCTTGGCCTGCTGTGTTCATCCAGCTCTACACCTTGTTATCTCAAAGACACTGCTTGGTTTGGCAGCTGCTAATTAGCCATTTTACACTTAACTTGGTACAAAAACAGGAGTTGCTGGAAAAGCTTAGCAGGTCTGGCAGTACCTGTGAAGAAAAAATCAGGGTTAACGTTTTGGGTCCTGTGACTCCTCCTCAGTTACACTTAATTTGGGAGGAGCAGGAGCGAGTGGAGCACTCATGTTCCATTCTGCTTCGTTCACCCTGCCAAAAGGTCCAGCCCCACATCACAGGTTTCTGTTGATTAGTAACAGCTTTTATTCTGTTGTTTTCTCTCCCAAAATCTTCTCTAAATATCTAAGAAAAATAAAAAACTTAAGAATGTGCTCTACTCCCAAGTATTTCCATCAAATTGAATAAAAAATCTCCCTATAAGAGCTGGTAACATATGTTTGATTCTATTTATTTTCTTGTTTTTAGTTCCAAAATAACACACCAGCAATTAACATCATTGAAGTTTGACTACTGCAGTATGGCTCTACAGATGGGACAAGTATTCAACAGACTAAAGGAACATTGTCTAAACCTTATGAATCCATATTTTGCATCATTAATACCATCTTTATGCCTAAAAGCATGTCATAGCCAAGGCTTTCTTTCCTCAGAGGACCTGCATGGAGATTAAGGCTGTGCATGAGGGATTCCTTCTTCAGCATAAAGGGCCGCCAAAGGTGACCCATGCAGATGATGTCCAGAGACATGCAGTATTGGCTAAGATCTACATGAAGCACTGCAAACATCAGAGCATCCTACTGCATAGAGGTCCCGCTCTCATTTAATGGTTTGCCAATCTAAGATTCTTTGTCAAGTGTGCGGGAGACCAATATGATGGTCAGCTCAGGGACTCAACACCTGGAAAGACTCAATTATGATATAGCATGGTTCCAGATCTGCATTCAGTGAATTTCAATGCGCCTAATGGATTGAACAGGTGAGGAAGCACCAGCATGCTGACTGAGAAGATTTTGTAAATGTGTCAGTGATACTCAAATGAATCTGTCCAACTTGAAAGAAACTCTCCATATGAGATTCTAAATATCAGACTGTATAGAACATAACTTGTTTTGGTAACAGCACATTCTGGTTTACTGGTTTATTTTCCCTTTGCTTCAGGATTCAGCACACACTACATATGGAGAATCAGTTTGACTCTCATCAATTCTATTGAAGTCAAAATTACATTAATGTTTGAACTGTTTTATTGATTCATAATATTTCTGACAGGAAGATTAACTCTAATAGATGAAGAGATCTCCCTTTATTAATAGAGTTAGAGCTCCCATTTATGCCTAACAATTGAGGTTAAAGTATTCATTTTAAAGCAACACCTTACATAGTCATACAGTTGTACTTAGAAATAGCAGAGTTGAATGAGAATAACGTCACTATCTTCTCAATTTTGGGGGAACTTTTGATGCTGTATGGTTCAAGAGGGAAGACCATTGAGCTGCTTAAATATTGCTGTGTAGAAGTGGAAATTCATCATTTTAAAGGCAGAGTCAAAAATAGAAACATCCTCTGCAAGAGATGAAGTGCCTGACATTGAGAATCATTTTGTCTGCCATGCCTCTGGCAATGCAAAATGTGTGACAGGAATAGCATATCAAGCAGGTATTATAGTTCTAAACTTCAACGATAATAATAAGTTAACACAATAAATTTAATTGCAATTTTGTCCTCTGGTTCTTTTTTTCCACGTTTTTCTGACATAACAGCTATTCTGTGACAAAGAGCAGTCTCAGGAATCTGTTACATTTTATTTTGTAACTCAATTCACCACAGTAATTGCCCTCTGCTTTTTTTTTTCCAGGCCCACCTGTGTGATAGGGACTGAATTTTGGCTGCACCTATACCTGCCAGCCAGGGGTTGCTTAGCCCTTGGCTGGGCAGCTGGATTGTGATGCAGAGCGCAGGTTCAATTCCCGCAATGGCTGAGGTTGCTGTGAAGGACTCCTTCTCAACCTCTCCACTTGTCCGAGGTCTGGCGACTCAGGTTAAACCACCACCAGTCATCTCTCTCTCTTATTAGAGAGCAGGCCTATTTTACTTTTACCTGACAGCATAGTTACATCAGAATGACATGAAGATCAGTTTTCTATGATACTCTAGTGCGGTGCATTAAGGCATCCATGACATATACCAACACCACGCCAACACCAGATGGAGAGACAGTAAATACTATAATGTAGCAAGGCTGGCACATGAGATATTTACTAACCAGTAGCTTATAACCCATGCCATGAGATGTTCCATTAATATACTGTGTTTTTTCATCTTCAGCAAACCAAACAGAAAATCATTGCTTTGGAGCAAGTTTAAAAAAAAAACATTTAGATAGGTACATGGATGGGAAGGGTTTAGAGTGATATGGACCAAATGTGGGCAATTGGAACTAATTGAGTGGGCACCATGGTCGTCATGGACCAGTTTGGGCCAAAGATCCTGTTTCCATGATGTGTTACTCTCTGACTCTATGACTGGGAAATATTTAAATTGACAAGATGTGTTATTGACATGTAAAGGCTTGCATTCGATCTTCTGCTTATGAGAAATGAGTTTTTCAAATGTACTTTTTAAATGTATTTTCATGAAGATAATGCCCCATTAAATTTTTGATCATTTGTTGATTAATTGAGACATGACCTTTAAAGTAAGATTGAGAACTGTAATTTCTGGGTGCCTAATAGGATATTTTGTTAACGCTTACTGTGCTATTTTTAAACTGTGGTTTTAAACTGTTCAAACTGGATGTGGCAGTACCTCTATCAGAAGGGCAGAGAGAGGAATTGTGCTCAAATGCAGTAAGCTAATAATTTGACATGAATAATTGCAGGCAAATGGTTCTCACTGAAAGTAGTACAATATTGATACAATGGTGTAAAAACAAACATTGACCAGTTTGCACAAAGGAGATGAATGCCCACTACAGCAATTCTCCATTTTACATTTGGAAAAGCATCCCCAAAAGTAGCATTTAAGGCAATGGTTCCATTGAAATTGAGCAGAAAATGAAGGCCATTCATCTTCGCCAGAGGTAGGCCAGAGCTCACCAGTAATCTCATCCCCATTTTAAGCTGACATAGTATGTTGAATATACCATATTATCAGCTGAGATGTGGAAAGTAATTAAACATGCATGGCATGAATTCACTCCAGATTTTGATTACACACTTCACTTTTTCCGAATGTAACTTACAAACATAATTCAAAGTTGCTCAAGCTCTTCACTGAACATTGAGAGCACCAACACATGTAGATCTATGCATCTTATCCTCAAGTGTCTATTCTTGTTCAGTGAGATTCCAACTGAGAACAGCAAATTCAGCAAATATTTACCTACAGTATCTATTCATTAGTCTCATCATTGCCGTGTGATTATAACACACATGATGCTTAAATATTTATTTTTATTATTGAATATTATTAATTAAGGATTTGAATTGTGTTTATCCAATACATTTCCAGTCTTCCACAATTTACAAGTTAGGGGCCGTGAAATTTCTAAGGGATTTTTGTTTTTAGCCATTTACAGCAGCTCTCGAGGGAATTACACCAGAAATATGATAGACAACCAGTAGTAGCCAAATGGTATATCCAGGCTAGGTTACTTAGGAATCTTAATGGTAAATGCAATGTGCCTTTTGGAATATGTCATGGTTTTGCAAAAGAATTTAGGCAGTAATGTAGACAGGGGATGTTCTCAAAGGGCTAAACAGACTTCTTAATCTAAAAAGCTGGATTAAAATTCACTTATATTTTTGTGCCTGTCTGAAATCACATGTGTCTAAAATACTTTCCTTTTCACTTTTAGTCACATATTAAGATTAAATCTTATGCAGGCAATGAGAGGGGTGGTGCAGGTTGACTACTGGCTAAAGCATGACTGAGCTTTTTGCCCGCTGTTAGGTTAATACTATCAGTAGTGGGATGAGTCCTTTCAGTGATCACTAATTGTCCATATATAGCTGCAGGGCAGGAAAGGCCTACCACTGGCTATGGACAGTCAGAGTGGAAGTGAGAAAGTGATGGAGCCCTCAGCTGCCACCCTCTCAACTGGTTAAATGCCTCCACCACCACATTCACCACTAATGAGGGTGGAAGATTCTTCCCTAATTTCTTTGTCAATTTGTAAATCAAAGTAATCTCTTGTAATAGTTTGAAAAAAATGTACAGTATGCTTTAGTTCAAGAGATATATATGGACATAGATGTTGTTACTATTCTGTGGAGTTGCATTCATTATTTGGATCAACTTGGACCAGGTCGAAAAGGTTAACAATTATTTCATTTTCACTGTTGCATGTGATTACCTCCTTCCAGCAATCAGTGTTTTTCTTCTGAGAAAAAATATTTTCCAATGTACTTGTTCTTGGTATACCTGAATGTGATCAAAATAATAATGTGTAAAAGCATTTAGAAACCTGTGTAGATTCAGAGTCAAACCAAACAATGATCCCAGTTACCTGAATTTGCTAAACGTGGGATGAGTGTTTGGCTCAACTTCTGTCTCCTCAGTTTACATCTTAAAATAGATCAAGCGATCAGGGTAAGATCGTGTACACTGCGGCAAATTGTCTGAGGTTACATAATGGTCAGCCTTTACATAATGAGTCTCAGAATGCCTGTCTGCCCCAGGAAACTATTATTAATTATTGTAAAAATCCATCAGATTCAATAATATCCTTCAAGGAAGGAAAATTTGCCATCCTCTCCCAGTCTGACCAATTCCAGACCCACAATAATATGGTTACCTCTTAACTGCCCTCTAAGCCACATAGTTCTAGGGCAATTAGGGATGGACAACCAATGCTGGCATTGTCAGCCCCACCTACGTCCAGGGAAAAAATAAATTTGTAACGTCAATGGAGAGAGTTTAAATCTTCTTTTCAGGCCAGCATACCTGTGGCTCATTTTGTAAAAAGGGCTGTAAGGAAACAACTATAAAACAAATTTATCTTTCCGGTCTTGTGAGCTTGAGGCTGTGATTCTGGCTTGAACTCTCAGGGTAAAGCCTTCACCTTTCCTTTGGACCAGCTTCTTTCCACAATAAGCTTACCAGCTGCCAGTCGCTACAGAACAATCAAGAACTGTTCTTAATTCAGTTCTCACAGTTCATTTTGTCCGAATCCATCTCTCCCTCGGTCCACCAGAATCTCCAAAATCAGAGCAGCAGGGTTAAAGGCTAAAAACCCCGATCAATTGTCTGTCCCACTTCTTCTGAAATTGTGTTGGGTGTGCATACTGAAAAGGACTGAGGATATCCAGCTTTCACAATAGTTTTCTCTACTTTAATGCGGGGAAACCTGAAAGCATTAATATTCTCAGTGGGGATCTGAGACCTTACCAATTGTGAGAGCACTTACATTTGAAGTCAATGGAAATAAAAATATAGAGAGATTCAAAATTAGCTGCTGACTTTCTGTCACCAGTCACTCAAAGAGAAGACCAACCTCTGTTAATTCATAGAACGCAGGTTTGTTCTTTACCTAAAAGTATTCAAGTTATATCAAAATAAAAACAGAAACACTGGAGAAACTCAACAGGTCTGGCAGCATCTGCTGAATGAAAAACAGAATTGGCATTTTGAATCCCATTTTGACTCTTCTTTTGAATCTGAGACCCTTTTCAGAATTTGTAAATCCTTTGTATTGTACACGGCAGACACACAGAACTACTGTTACAGTATTCTGATGGAAATTACACTGAGTGAAGTAAAAGATCCTTTTGTTATTGTTAGCTTCCTTTTTGCACCATTGAATCTTCGGCTCACAGGTATGACCTCAATGTGACCACCAACAGAGTCAGAAATGTTAACAGTCAATGCCAATATTCATTCTGAGTTTATGGAGAATAGCAACCACCTGAAAAATTAAATAGCAATATGAGTAATTGCATTCAGGATTGGAGAATGAAAGGAAATTAAATGGAAATA